CAGAGTCATGTGGTTCAGGAAGTGGATGCCACTCCTGCTTCCAAACCTGAATCAATGTGGGAGCTCCAGCAAACTGCCCATGATGGGTAACACTTCAACTATACAACTAAAAAGAAACCACCATAAGAGTGAACAGGAAATTGAAAAAAACTGTCATTTGTATCAGACAAAAGTGTTAAAATAGACATGATACACACACACTCACTCAAGGAGAGGATTGCTCTCATCGTGAAGTAACGCCTTACACACAGTGTTGGACAACCGCGGTAGATGCCTTCCTTCCCTCGTTCCTGACTCTATAGGCAGGGATATGATTCTTCTATGATTTTTTCACTTAGCAGATTGGCAGATATTCCCGAATGGCCTACCCATCTTTGCCAGGGCTATGGAGAAACGGGAAATCGTGTGCAGTGCGGACAGGAAAAGGAATTGCAGTAACACTGGTTGTAACCTTGTAAGGACGAAGCCTCTTCTGGAATTCCTCTGACTTCAAAGTCTCCTCTCCAAGTTCTTGAAAGCGAGGGCATTGCTTGAAAGGCATGTACAGCAGCTGGAGACAAGAGAAAACCAGAAATGCCGTTCCAGTTAGCAGCCCTCGGCTGTGGACACTGCAGCCACGCTTCACCGGGTCCACCTGGGCTTGACTGGCAGAGCCAATTGTCTAGCTAGAGGAAACCTCTGAAACTCAGTGGAGCACCTGGTGGATTCGAACAGCGTGCCTTCAGGATTGCAGCACAACTTCTTACCATTCAGCCACCAGAGGTCCCTAGGAATGTTTCTTAAAGATAATCTCCTCAGGTGGTTCTAATGTGCAGTTTGAAAAGAATAATTTGTAAGAAAGAACATTTCTCTGGGACGAGATAGGGCTGGTGCTAATGCCCAGGTGATGCTGAGGGGCTGTGTGACCCTGGGCTCCTCTTATCTTTGGTCCTGTCTGGGACTTTATTTGAACGAAGCAGCCCTGGTGGCATAGCAATTACCAAGAGGTCAGTAACTTGAATCCCCAGCCATACTGCACAAGAAAGGTGAGGCCTCTGCTCCTGGTAAGATCAG